TTTTTTTTTCTTTTCCTTGTCCATATCACATTTAGGCATTGTTATGGGAAATGGGATCACAAGTCCATCAGCAAGTATTTAATATCTATTCTCTTTTACAGTTTAACTATTTTCTTTTTTTTGGATAACTTATTATGTCATTATTTCACTAGTTATTTAATTTAAGACGCCTGGCAATAAAATGGGGTGTTGTAAAGTTTACTGGATGTGCCTGCTTATCGGGGGGAGCCATGCATGCTAATAGAGTGTGCACAGCGCTTCCATTTAAGCTTTGGGACTGAAAACTGTGGAATCTCCCTAATCACTGAAACTAAATTATGGTTCTGTTGTATTGCTGCCTATAATGTAAACATAGAAAATTACACTAATATTTTCTAACTAATTTATGTAGAATGACAAAAGAATTCTAATCACTGACAAATTGAATATTTTATTAAGCAAAAACGAGTAATTTTCAATCTGGGTCGACCTTTGTAATATATGAATTATAGAGAAATGTATACTTATGAAGGTTATTGCTCTCCAGCATTCTGAAGTATTTTTCATAGGCAGCCTTATGGTTCGATATCTTAGAGACATGCCACTAAAACTAAGTAAATTGCGAAGATCAATTTGATTGTACTCTGAATTTCTTTGGAAGTCTGTGACTTGGCTTACGATATGTTATGACTTACACATGTAAAGGGTTTTTGTGCATAAAAACTGCATATATTATACAATTTTTATCGCACGCGCAAACCCTGAAAATTGAAGAGTTGCCTCATTAATTATTGAACGAGACCTTTCAAAGGTGATTGTGCTGTCACCTGTGTGAAGAGCCGAGGGACACTAGAGAGTCAATGTACATATCTCACCCTTTCTACAGCTGTTTCAACAGCCTTTCTGGACCCTTTAGAAATTATGCATGCAGGTCCTGTTTGTTAAAACTTGTTCTGATTAATTGTATACTTTGAAAAAGTGCCGAGTGCACATTTTGGAACTGTATTATTCGCTTTTTTGCCTTTTTTGATTACTTTGAAGTCCATCCAATATATGTTCTTATGCCATGAAGAGGGCACTCATTTTTTTTGCAAGCAGGCATTTGATTCTCTTGTATAAAACATCAAATCTCATGAAGAAATGGCAACAGTGAGTGTTCAATGTAATGTATTACAGTACAATTTATATTGTTTTCAAAGAAATTGTCTTACTTTTTTTGCCTTTTGTGTTGTACATATTCTGCTTGAATGGTCCTGCAGAGCAAACAAAGCTGCTTTAATTTTTTTTTTTTTTTACATACTCACACATTAACCTGCTGTTCAGAAACAGTGTCTTTCATCTACGCCATTTTGACAGCCTGTCCCTCCAAATAATAATAATAAAAAAAAAATGTTTTCTAAATCTTTGACTGTTTTTTGTCTTTGTAAAATGCTGAAAACTAAACTTTTTGCATTGTTGGGGAAAAAAGCATGGACAAAAACTCCTAGGGGTATTATTTCTAGCTTTCTTTGGTGGGAGGGGGTATACTTGATATATTAATAATATATTTTAGCTAATAAGCCAAAAATATGTGTTATAATTGGTTTAACCCTTTCTAGACCAGCAAATAATTGCAAGAAGTGTAGCAGTTTGCACATCTGTTTGCCAAGCAAAGGGTTTCTGGTTCAATTCCAGCCAGAGACACAAACCCTTCCTGGGGTCAGGGTTTGCATTAAACATGTGAAGCTAAAAGTAGCAAAAGTAAAATAAGCACACTAATGTACTTTCAAATTATGTGTAGCTCAGGTAATCTACAGCATACTGCTACTTTACACCAGTGGTGGTGAAACCTCTAGCAAAGGAAAAAAACTAATTGTGCTCCCATACTGCAGTTTTTACCACTCATTACAATAAAAACACAGGATCCAAGTTAATCTAGTTGTTCATTAGAAAAGAACAACGATTACATTACAATTGGCAATTTGTTGCTAGATCTGTCAAACAGAACGTATTTAGTGTTTTACACAAATGTATAAACCCTGGGACGACCGTAACGTTTAGTAAAATGCTTCTGCATGAAAGTTCAGGGGACAGACACCATCTTTACTTTTAAGATTAGACTTAAAGCTAAATCTGAAAGGACTGTGATCCTGAAGGATCCCTTGGTTATGCTGAAGCAAGCTCAAATTGCAGGGGGACTTCCCACAGGTGCTTATATGCCACAGCTGCATGCCTTTACATTGTGTCATCTCTCTCCCATAGTTTGTGTTTTTTCCTGTCTTCCTCTTTCCCAATACAGCTGCTCTTCCCTGAGCCTGGTTGTGCTGGAGATTTTTGTCCTCTTAAAAGGGAGTTTTTCCTTCCTGGCGTCATGTAGTGCTTGTTCATAGAGAATCATATGACTGTTGGGGTTTTCGGGTCTTTACGTTAGAGTAAAAAGAACCTTGAGGCCTTGTTATGTTGCCAAATGAATAAACTTGAACTGAATGAAAAATTCAGATGGATCTAATTGCTTATTAATTTTTTTTATTAGTTTAGCTTCTATTTGGAAAACCATTAAGACCATTTTCTTCTACTATATTAAAGAAAATTGACATTTCTCCTTAAATCTATTGAAACAACATTCCTGTTAGGTTCTAATGTAAACCACTGGAATGTATCTGTGGTTTTTGGTCTCCATGGTGTGGAGAAAAACACTTTATATGATGTCATGCAGAAGTCTCCTGACTACTACCACAAACATATGGCCAGAAATTCCAGACAAGAAGGAAATGTTGAGACTATGACTACATATAGCATTTGGCCACAATTAAAAAGAGAGAAAAAAAAGGTTTTCTGCTTGTTGGGACAGGGTGTTCAGGTAGACCGTGCAAGAATATTCCAGTTGTCCTTGTAATTCACTGCTACTTAAGCCTTTTTTTAAAAAAAGCGCTTCTCAGTTTGAAACATCCTTAGAAATTTTCCATCAACTAAAACTGCGGTTCGGGAGTTTAGGAGGTCACGACCGTAGCCGCTGTGTTGGTATTCAAACAAAAACTGTGGCACATGTATGGACTGGTCGCAAAAGGAGCACACCAACAACAAATGCATTCAGTAGAAAATGTGTTTCTGAAATTGTGGGAAAGTACCGGAATGCCATTAAAAGGATCTGATTCTGAGAGAAAAGCAGGACGTTGTTTGGTCAGAACATGAGGTGGTTTTGCCACCCTTTGGCAAATTCAAGAACTACAGGCAAATATCTGCAGCGCAGAACATGAATGAGATGCACATCAATTTTATTTTGCAGGTTGCATTTGAGAATTGTAAGGAATGCGGTGCCATTTAAGCAAGACCCATAACCTGAAAAAATAAATAGATAAAATAATGAGTCACGCTTTATAAGATTATAGTCGCCAAACAAAAGCACAGAGGCATCAAGAGACTCACTGAAAACATCCAGTCTTCAAAGGAAGAGACTCTGGTGAAGACCGTGGGTTTGAACACTTGGTTGCACATACCAGATGGGCCGTAACTGACAACACCGTGAACTCTCCAGGCTCCATCAGTAAAGCAGTTCAGAGGACCTCCAGAGTCGCCCTGGGACAGATAACAATAAGAACATAGCGTGCAATGACTGTGAGAACGTCTTAACACAGTATTGTTGTTAACAATATGATAGTTGCAGCATGAGGCGAAACCTCCTCTACCTGGCAGCCTGCTATGATCCCATCCCCTCCGGCACACACCATGGTTTCTAGAGCAATGCTGCCCCACCACTCTGGCTGGGAGCAGACCGAGTGCTCCACCACATTGATGGGAGCCACCTGTAGGATGGCAGGGCTACCTCCATCTGATTCAGTGGAGAAAGAATGCAGGAACCTTTTTATTACATCCACATATAGGGTGTGTATATGTGTACATTTAGCACCCAGGTGTACTCACAGTCTACTAATCCCCAGCCGGTGATGTAACAGGTGAAGCCATGAGGCAGTGTCTGGTCCGGGTAGGGGAGATTAGCTATAGCCACGTAACCACTGTCATAGATGGGACCAGCGAGTCTCAAGAGAGCAATGTCATTTCTAAGAAAAAATAACCAAAGATAGAGTTGTATAATTTTAATAGCTGCTTGTTTGCTGAGATTAACATTTCATATTTAAATGAGGCTTAATTGAGAAAGGTGATCTGACATGCTGCCACTTACCCATAACGAAGATCACCATTCCAGCCAGGATGGACTGTAATTTTTTCCACATGGATGAACTGCTCACTGCCTTCTAACTTATACAGGTCATACTCACCCACCACTACACGGTACTGACTAGCATCTGGGCTGAGAAGGATATGGAAAAAACATAAGTACAGTGCTTACTTACACTCTTTTGTCCAGCCCAGGAGACACCAAGAGCGACTTTAAAATATTACAAAATGCACAAAAGAAATGGTGTCATTAAGAATAACCATGGTCAGAGCCCAAACCTGAGGATGCAGTGAGCTGCAGTCATGATGTGGAAGCTATCAACAACAGATCCTCCGCACATGTGGTAGAATGAGCCATCATAGAATTGATCATACTGCACAGAAACCTGTGAAATATTAAAGAAATATGAAAATATGGTGGAGATGGAGTTTTTTTCTAAATCTAGTATTTTAAAACTACAGTACAAAACCTATTTGCATCAAAAGATAGAAAAATAAAAATATCATTAGTGTTCAGAGGATTTACCTGCCATTTCCATGTGTTTGGTTGAGCATTACTGCCGCCTATCACCCTCTCATTGTCAACTTTGTAGTTGAGAGGTTCTTTGGCACAAATCAGCCCTTCAGCACACACATGGACAGATGTGGTAATATATATTTTTAACGTTCAGAAAATATAGGCACAGAAAATTATTTAAGTCAGGTGGGCTTACCAATACAGGACAGAAGAAGCACAAGCCACATCATGTTGGAGCACTGATGACAAGCTGCAGTTTGCTTTTATACCCATTTGAGATTGGGAAACCGGGCAGATGTTAAGTTACCAGCCAGTATCAATAGTCCATGTGGATCAATTCACATTAAATGTACTGCTATGAAAAGCTGAAAGTTTGAGAAGTGTGAGACTTTGTGTGGCAATCCACCACTGTGTGAAACTCCTACAAATACAGACTTATGATGTACATTTGCATTTCATTCAACTCAGAAAACTTTAAGGACAAGAGAACTTTATTAATTAATTAATTAATTTATTTATTTTATCATGGTGGGAAAAGAACAGGTGCTGTCTAGTGATGGCAGAGTCGACCAAACCATCTGTGAAAGGTGTGCATTCAAGACAAATATTACAGCAGATAAAAGTCTGAAATGATCGACGGCCAAGGTAAAGAAGAAAATGTTCCGCTGCCTTCTGTCTGTACACTGTACACTCAACACAAAACAGACAAAAGCAGAATATTCAATGAAAAGTTTAATCATAATTCAATAAAAATACACACGTGTATTCATTATAATAAAAATTGTACAGTATAACTACCGTATACAAAAGTGTATACATGAGTTCTTTTTCTTCTGCTTATCTAATTCTCGGTCATAGGGGAATTATAGCCTATCCCACTTGTTATGGAGGAAAAGGCACAGTACACCCTAAATGGATCAGTCTATCACAGAGATACAGACGTCCATTAACAGTCACATTCACATCTATGGATCTAACACATTCACACATGTATTTGGACTATGAAGCCAGAGTGCCCACAAGCATGCAACCTCACATGACCTTCTTGCTGTGAGATAACAATGTTGACCATCACGATGTTTTTATTTAAAGATAGAATAAATATATAAATGGCTTCTCTATCTTCAAAGGAAAGATGCCATACAAAGTTAATTGCATCGTTCATGAGGTTCACTGTAAAAATGTTTTTTTCTTTGTTTTAGACTTAAATAAAATATACTCTCTCTATGATCATAGAGAGGTGTGTGTGTGTGTGTGTGTGTGTGTGTGTGTGTGTGTGTGTGTGTGTGTGTGTGTGTGTATTGAAGCTCCCAGGACCCTCGAGCTCCCAGGACCCGAACTTGAAGGACAGACCGCCCGCAGGGGCGAGAGGAATATGAATAAGAATAGTATTTCGTTTTCATAAATGTTGTCATCTTGAAAGATATTTATGTAAACCAAAAAAAGCTTTCCATTTGAAACCTAATTAATAATTAATGAATAATAATTTAGTAATTAACTAAAATTCAACGGTAGATCGAAATAAGAACAAGTATGAACATCTAACTTTAATTACTTTTCCCACAGACATGTGCAGTAAGGCAACAAACTGTCAAATCTATGTAATATTTATTTATATATTCGGTAATTTATTGTTTTGTTTTTTTATTGCCTAAAATATCTAAATACTTAACAGGAAGTGGCATTTTTTTATGAATGAGCATGGCGTTATGTTTTGCTAAGCAACCGCGTAGAACACCATGTAAAGGACGGCTAATCGAACTCAGCTTGCTTGCTGCGGATATGAAACTCGGGAAGAAGAAACTCGATTTTTCTGCCATCATTATTTATAAGCTTTGTCTGGCTCTCCAGCGCCTGCTGTCAACCTATCTCAGCTGCTGGCTAGCTAGCTTGTATGCGGAGTGTATGTACCAGTAATGACTCCTGAAATAAGTCTGCTTTAGTGACATTTAGTCAGAACTAGTAAAACGTAACTGCTGAAGGCAATGGGGCTACCGCAGAGCTCGTTACTGTCGGACGGAGGAGCTAATTGTGGATATCATGTCCACGGGGTACGTTAGAAAGTAGTGCAAGGTTACACGACACGCGGTTTGTTAGTCCCTATAGCTCACTTTTCATACATTTTTTGCTTAGTGACTTGTTAACTGTGCTTTGAACCATAATTGCTGCTTTATCTATCTACGCAGAGCCTGACTGTAATTGACAGGTTATCGTGTAACTGTAGTTACTCGTGAGCTCAGCTTGAATGGTGTCCGCCCATGATGATGTTGAAGATGAGGTGGCATTTGGCACACTTCCAACCCGCGTGCCTTTGTTGGGAAATGGAATAGTTTAACAGTCACTATAGAAACTTTCTTTAGTTATGGCACGTTTCATTCAAAGTTGCATATAACATATTAACCGCGCGAGAAAGCGGGTACCTCGTCTCATTGAGAAGTCCCAAATTTTGGACACTGCAATATCTTAGGTTGACACACGGGGGGCGATAATATCACTGTGCTGTTTGTCAGTCAAACCAAATGTCAAGTTTTCTGTTCTGTGTTTTAAATTATTATTAATATTTTTAATTATTTAAGTAATTTCTTTTATTCTCAGGTTCAAGAGGACTCTCCTGCTCTGAAGGCTGGTCTGGAGCCTTTCTTTGACTTCATTCTCTCTATAGGAAACGCCCGACTTGTGAGTAGACTCCTGTGTCACTACACTCCTGGTTAAAATGAGTAACTAGGTGTCAAATATTGACTTCTTCTATCTTTATGACATTTCAGGTATGAATTGTAATTGAAAATGATGAGTTGAGGACAAAATGAAAATGTCAAAAAAGCCCTGCAACGTAGCTGTGAATGTGGCATATATTCAATTGTATTTGAAAGTATGCTAAAAACAAAAACATTTTTAAATTCTAAACTCATTTTAAAAGGCGTTATGAAGCTGAATAACATATTTATAGATCTCAATCAACTGCATAGGACAAAAGCAAGTTGTAGTCTGTTTTGAAACCATCTTCAAGACCCATTTTTCTGTATATAAAGCAAAGTACTCGGCAGGTAGGACACAGCAGGCAAACACCGATTTCCATAATTTTGAGGTACTGCCTTTAATCCAGTGTTTTTCAGTGCTTTATTAATAACTTCATTTGGAAGAGTGGCAGTAATTACATTTCATGTTCTTTTTCATGAAAGAAAACGCATCTGCACAGTTGCAGCTGGAGTAGCCCTTTTTCCTTTTGTTTCTCCAGAATAAGGAAAACGACCTGCTGAAGGATCTTCTGAAGGCAAATGTGGAAAAAGCAGTCAAACTTGAAGTGTATAACTCCAAAACCCAGCGTGTGAGGGAGCTGGAGGTGACACCCAGTAACATGTGGGGCGGTCAGGGTTTGCTGGGGGCTAGTGTCCGCTTCTGCAGCTTTGAAGGAGCCAATGAGAATGTCTGGCATGTCTTGGTAAGTTAAATCTACCTGTCTTCGCTCAGGTTTCACCCTTTGCTGGTTACTGTAGGTTAAAGGCCTTTGCACACCGAATATATGCGAAAAAATGGCTAAAATTCAGATTTTAGCCATTTTAGCCAAAAAATGGCTAAAATTCCGATTTTTTAAAAATGGCTAAAATTCCGATTTTAGCCATTTTTCCTAAAAAAAGCCTATTTTGGATCCAAACCTGCCGTATAACAGATAAACACAACAGAAGTCTTGCTTTGTGTGAAAAAATGAAGTTGAAAGAAAGAAATGATGAGCTGATTCTGATGTTTCTAAACAAGAAAAAGAAGAAAGTGAGAATCCGGGTTCATCCAATTCTCAGGCGAGGACAGCAGCAGGGAAAATTTCTTGGTTTAATCCAGGAGTTGAAGCTGTATCTCGACCGCTTTCTCTCTTTAGCAAAATTGCAACCACATCTGAGGACATACAGAAATAATTTTAGAGAGCTGATTTAGCCGGAGCAGTGTCTGGCTGTCTGTCTGAGGTAAAATAGTATTATTTTTACTATTTCCATATCATTGCACATTCAGTACTGGTGCATACGCTGAGCAATGAGCACACTTGTTGCCAAATGCAGTGGTCTGATTGGTCAGATCTGTTTATTCCTATGTGGAAAAATATGAAAAATCGAGCTTGATCCGAACTATAAAAAAAATAAATCCTGCAAATTTGAATTGAACAGTTGCCTTAAGAATAAGTGAGTCTGAAAAATCATTGCATTCTGTGTTCAAAGGCCTTAAAATTGCAAATGTTAATAATTTTGGTAGATTTTAGAATTTTTAAAAAACTTTTAGGAAGTGGAACCAAATTCTCCCGCCGCTCTCGCAGGCCTGGATGCATACAATGACTTCATAGTTGGAGCTGACCAAGTGTTACAAGATGTAAGATTTCTTGTCTTTTGCCTTTTATTCCAAATAAGAAATAATTGTTTTAACTAGCAGACATTATTAAAATAAATAACAAAAACGTTATTTTCGTGTGAAACGTCTGCAGTCCGAGGATTTCTTTTCTTTGATTGAAGCCAACGAGGGGAAACCTTTGAAGCTTTTGGTGTACAACACTAAGACGGATCAGTGCCGAGAGGTAGTGGTGACTCCTAACGGAGCGTGGGGAGGCGAGGGAAGGTTGGCATTGATTTTTTTTTTAATCTTTATTTAAATCAAAGCATGTAGATAAATATTGCCATGTCAACACCCGTGGGGTTTTTTCCCTATTTTTTAGCTTAGGCTGTGGGATCGGCTATGGATACTTGCACAGAATTCCAACTCGTCCAGTTCAGCCTAACGCCCAGAATAAAAATGTTCTTCAACCAGTGCTCACTGGCAGCAGTGAAGAGGTAGCTGCAACTGAGCACACTGAGGTGAAGGTTGTTGTATCTTATTCTTGCTTATTTATTAAGCTGTGCAGGATGTAATGGCATCTATTGGTAGCAAGGGATTATGTTGAGAAGTACAAAAAGAATAATCTTTTTTATGGCTTAAAATGAGACCTACATATCTACTACAGGAGGGATCCACCTTCTACACTAGCTCAGTTTTTTTTCAGTCGGGGGTGACGACCTAGTATTCACTTACATTTTTAGAAGTGGAAGGTGAGGCCAGGTGTATTGACTTTGTTGCAATCTGCAACCTCCCCACTAAATGCCACTGTATCCCACAAACTGCTCCTTTAACTGTAACTTGCTAGAGGTATTTGTGACCTCCAGTTTTCTCTCCTTAGGTGCCTTCTACCGATGAATGTAGCCCATCTACCGAAGCAGCACTGAATCAAAGTGAGAAAAGCATGCAAGATCAGTCTTTAATCTCACC